AATTACAAGGTTTAAACTGATTGAAAGAAAAAAAGAAAAATAATATTATACCTTATGAAACACCACAAGTTTCTCAACTGCATCAGAGGCACTTATTTTTGCAGCCATCTTTCGCCCAGCAGATGGTGGAAGAAGGTGAACCAGTAAAAGCAGTGTAGATAAATCACTGTCCCAGTCTGTAGTAAAATAAAAACAGCAACAACAAAAAAGGAACATTATACTCTATAGAGTGGAATGGGACAAAAAGCATGACGATTATTGACTATATTGACTATTTTTGCCTATTTGAATATGTGGCATGCTCGGGGGTTTTCTCAGCTGACATCTGCACAGGAGGCACAGGAGATGTCTTAGTCAAGTTTCTTGCTTCTTGAATGATTTTTGGTTTAAAGGTTCCATCCCACCTTTCCAAGAGCTTGGAGGATGTGTCCAAATCGAACAGAAGAACAAAATCTTGGTTCACCTTGAAAATATTTATCAGCATTAGACACTTACACATGCACTTAAAGCAACATTCAATCATTTTAAGTATTACTCGGATTTTAAGTATAAACTTGGAAAGGTTTTTAGAATATTTGTTGCTGTATCTGCATTGTGAACAAGTTCCTGGCGATAGCGAAATGTCTGTCTCATCTTTTCAAAAATGGTTTCGTCAACTCCTGTATGAGCAAGAAGTGAAATGGCCTCCACAAGAGCATCTCCCTCAAGCTGATGTTCTAAGCTAATGTCTCTCCTGGTGTTTGGACCTCCTTGTTCAGAGCTAGGCTTATTCTTTCTTTCAGTGTGATGAGAGTTGTTTCTTTGAATGGTTTTTAAACGCCAAGCAAGATAACCACTTCCACTTGCTGAATCATAAAAGTGCTCCTGTAAAATTGGGGGAAAAAACAGGACCATTTTACATTCATACATCTAAATCTATAGCAGGTGAAATGACAGTCACATAAGGTTGTGTGAATTTTAGCGATGAAGATTCCACTTATCAATCAATTCCTTTAAGTAAAAACATTTGATAATTTTATGGGAAAAGTCTTACATATCCCTTCTTGGAAAATGTTCTTCAACTCCTGTATGAGCAAGAAGTGAAATGGCCTCCACAAGAGCATCTCCCTCAAGCTGATGTTCTAAGCTAATGTCTCTCCTGGTGTTTGGACCTCCTTGTTCAGAGCTAGGCTTATTCTTTCTTTCAGTGTGATGAGAGTTGTTTCTTTGAATGGTTTTTAAACGCCAAGCAAGATAACCACTTCCACTTGCTGCATCATAAAATTGCTCCTGTAAAATTGGGGGAGGGACAGGACCATTTTATATTCATACATCTAAATCTATAGCAGGTGAAATGAGTCACATAAAGTCGTGTGAATTTTAGCGATGAAGATTCCACTTATCAATCAATTCCTTTAAGTAAAAACATTTGATAATTTTAAGGAAAAAGCCTTACATATCCCTTCTTGGAAAATGGGTCTTTCAATGATGGAAACAAAGTCACAATTCCAAGGGCATACTGCTCTCTCTGCTTCTGGGTTGGAATCCTCCTACCAAAAATAAATGTATATATATGGGATGGGACAGCACGTACGTGACAGAACATGCATACAAAAAACAGTCTTACATTTAGATTATACATTTATGTCTCAGCCTTAATAGGTGAATAAAAAACATAAAAAAACAGATATGACAATCAATTATCTTACATGTGAAAATGTAGCTTACCCATGCCTCTCTGTCATGTGCCCCACCAGTATGTTAACAAGCGCTCTTCTCATTTCATTTGACAAAGTATCGGTGGCCATGTACTCTTCAAGGACTTCATCTCCTTTTGATTTTTCTTTTAAGGCAGCTATAGCACCATCTAAGTTAAAACAATAAAAGAATAGTTTGCTCATATATCATTCTTAGGCCTGTCACAATAAATACTTTTTGGTGCTACATATTGTCCCAGAAATCAATTGTGATAAATGATATTACTGACTTTTTTTCATTAGTTAGTCTATATTAACATGATTATACAAATATTGCACTAATTACACAAGCACAAAGTGGAATAAATGGTATCACAGACAAACACAGATAGCACAATGTTCAGGTTTGACTGTAACAGTATTTTACATTGTTAAAAGAGCTTTTTTTTCTTGTATGTCAATCATTTGTAAATAACACTACATGTTTCAAAACATCTTTTATTGTGTTTAGGGGTTGTAATGATATTTCGCAGTTTCGCAGTGATATTTTACGATATGTCTTTTAATTCATTAACAAGTAGAGCTTTAACATAACACATTAAAAAAACTCAGTGTCTGATCTCTCACAAATAATTTGTAAAAAAAAAACACAAAAAAACAGCAGCATTACAAGATGGAAATATATAAAAGATATTTAAACTTGCCCTGCCCTTACATCCATGACACCGACTCACTGCGTAGTTGCCAGTTTTGGCGGTCTTTCCAGCTCTATCCAAAGGGCGCTCTATATTACATGTAGACTATAATGTCTATAATTAAATGTGTGCATTTTCAAGTGTTTTTGCAGAGTAAAATATAATAATAATAATAATAATAATAACAGCTCACTTGTACCGCAAGACAGTTAAAATGAGGTGCCGATGCGATCACTAACACTTCAAATACAAAACGCTGTGTGCTGTAAAATAATGAAACCAAACAGGATACTACTGCCGTCTGGGTCCCTTTGAACTTGAGCGTGTCAAAAATGAACCGAAACTCCGTTGCCTCACAGACATGAGAAATATATCTATAGAACATGAAATGTTTTAATAATAAAACAATTCAAATAGAAAACATTCTCAGATTATGTAATCCATATGAAACGCATATAGTGCGCATCCACCGCAGAGATTACGATTAAGCATAAATCTGTGTTACTTAAACTTCAGTTTCATTTTTAAATTTTGTTTAACATATCGTCATACATATCATGAACCCAGCATCGAGATATGTACCGAATGCTGAGTGTATCGTTACACCCCTAATTGTGTTCAAAGAAAGGTTTGCAACAACTGGAGGTTGTTACAACATTTCTGTGTAAACTGTATCCCTTTAGTCATTCTAGAATGATTGGGTGATTTTGTAGGGGAGTGTATCTGCATAGAAAGTAATAAACTACAAGCACAGATAAATACAACAGAACAATGATACAAATGAAATAAAGTACTCTATGTTTTTCTGGTAGCCAAGACGTGTTGTTCACATGCTCTCTATGCGGCTCTGTGTGAGCAACGAAAACCGTGCACAAGTTCTAAAATCTTCTTGCACTTCAATGCTCGCTTGAATATTTGAATACTGAATAGTGAACAGACAAGACGTAAAATCACGTGCAAATGAGTTTTACTCTGATGGTTAAACTTTGCAAATAATCAGCGAATCACTAGAGTATATGAGATGTTTGAGACGGTGCCATCGGACAATCATTTTTATGTAAATACAATGGGCAATCTATCGCGTCACCAAATTATTGAGGTCATGTTTATACATCGTGCGACAAGTCAATACAGATATCATTGTGACAGGCCTAGTCATTCAAAAACCAATACAACTTTAATACTCAAAGATTGATTAGTGTAATAACTTGAATTATTGAATGAACTTGAATATGTTTTTCATCAAATTGTTTAATGGTAACATAAATAAAAACATGAGAAACTCATGTCACCTCCGTTGCAGATCTTTGCTCCTCCGCTGCTCCAACTCTGTCATCTTGCTGTGATGTTTTGAGCCTTTTGGCACATCTTTCAGAGGGCACATCTTGTTCACTAGATGAATGACTTGTCAATGTATCTGTGCAGGAGCTGGCTGCTTCCTCTGCAAAAAAAAAAAAGAAACTTTGAAATTTGAAATTAACTTTCAAAAAATTGTGACCAATCTTTGTCACTGCACTATTTTATGTATGGATCAAAAGTACCTTCACTAAGATCTTTTATGATTAATGTTGATTTTGAGTTTGCTTCTAACAACTCTTCCAAAATGTCTTGATCAATTTCACTGTGGGACTCATCAAATATCCTCAAGTCTGCTCCAGCCTGTAAATCAAATCTGCTTCGCACTGTAGACCAAAAAAAGCAGCCATAACAACAATACTAAATAATATGCCTAAAAATATGGGTTACAATACATCAATATTGATTGATACATCAATTGATTAATCGTATGATGCATCAATGCACACACAAAAAAATGATTAACTTTGATTTCACAGAAGTGGCTTTCTTGGATATTTTTGGATGTGTGTAAAATGCAGAAAATAATGTGCGAGTGCCTTTTGCATCTTGTGCTTAAATTATTAATTTCGCATTGAAAGGAATCAATAAGAAACTATTAAGAAACTTTTTTTTCTCAATGTCCTTATTATGGTACAGGATGTGAAATATTCACAATTGCAATGTTCATGTTATACACTTTGGGTGATGAGTTAATAAAGTTGTATAAAACAGACATATAGTATTGTGATATTGATCACTGCAATTAAGGTGTGAGCAAATATCATAAATGCTGGCTAAGAGAATACTTTCAAATGCCCATAATTTCAAATAAAATAAAAACAAGGACACTTACCTTCATTTATGAAATCTGTAAAAGTGAATCCATTCTGTAACTTTATGAATTTCTTGAAGTCTTTGAACTGCACTCACAAACATGACGTTAACCTAAAGGGAAGAAAGGTCTTAAAACATCTGTGTAGAGAGTCACTTTAATGTTTTTTTTTATTTGTCTGTGACATCATAAAATAATTTGCTAAATATTTTCAGTTCTACAAGTTGTATTATTATCTGAAACCTGCTATGATTTATATTTCATAGTGACTTTTATGATTATATAATGCATTTAATACCAAATAAGCAAAAAAAATAAAAATAATAACAATAATTTAAAAACAAATAAATAAAAGCACATTAAAAGTGGGCACTTCAAGGTTTCTACAGATACATTTCTCATGCCTCATGTACTTTAAGGAAAATGTGTGTTGTATTACTAAAGAGAGATTATACAATCAAATGGGGACTGTTTAAACATGTCCGTTAAAGTTACTCCCTCCCACACTAACTTGTAATTAAAAAGGGGTCATTGGAATATTTTCTCCCGTCAGGTATCTCTGGCTCCACAACTTTGAAAACCCCTGTCTAACTACATTACACTTTACACTGAGCACTTCTTAGGACTGGGTGACAGTGATATTTTAATTATGAGATAACGATAAGACTGTTTTAGCTGGTTAAATAAAGAAACACTGGCCTCGCCTCTCCACATGGCGAGTAAAAGAAAAAGGCGTCTTCGAGAAATTTCAGGCTGTAAAGCGCGCGCAGCACGTCCTGAACGCTACACAAACTTGGCAGTTAACTTAACATTATTTACACATACATACACACAATATTCTAAACTGAATTTGATCAAAATAGCCGGTAAATTCGAACTAGTAACTAAAAGTGGTTGTTTCAGTCAGCCAGCTCAAGTACGCAAGTCCATATCGAATACATTTGAACAGGCTTTTAAGACAAACGGCTAACGTGAAACACAGTGATAAACAACGATTTATCGAACTATTTCGATTTATGGAACGCTTATCTTCATGAAATAAAGAACTTAACTTACCTTCTGCGTTTTTTCCAGTTTATATGTAACGTAGGCCGTCTTATCTGCTCTGCAGCCCGAACTGGAGAAAATTATGTACATTACTTGGGAAAAGTTAACACTTTTGGGCCAGCACGTCAAGAAAATATTGCTTTTTAATAATGAGATTACAAATGACATACTGCAAAGAAAACTCACCGTCTACATTTCCAGTAAATGAGCACTGGCCTCGTCTGCTGCAGGGTCAGTCGAAACAAATGGCGTCTGTGAGAAAAGTTACAGCGAGTGCAGCGCGTCCTCAACGCTACACGAACTTGATATTTAACGAAATGTACAAATAAATAAATAAAAATAATTACACTGACCTATTAAATAGCTTTGTTCGTTTTTTCAATCAACCAGGTCAAGTATTAAAGTCCATATCGAATCAATTTGAACAGTACAGCTAAACCCAATCGAAAACAATGATTTACATAACTTTATGAAATACATTACTTACTTTATGCACTTCTCCAATTATAAATGTATAATAATGTATGCTTCCAGTTAAAAAACACACATTGCGATTCAAATAAAATGGCGTCAGCGAGAAGAGTTTTGGCTGGTTGAAGCCCGCACCACGTAAATGTCCCGGATGTGTAATCGCACTACCAGTGTTAATGAGGTCAGACTCTCAGTAGTTTCACCAGTCTGAGTATCCCTTTTACACCATCCGTGTTAATTCAACACCATAACATTAACACTTTACTCTAAAACACCATAACACCAGGATTTTAACTCTGGTGATTTTGCTGTGCAGCATGCACGGCATCAGATTAAAGTATTCCAGTGTGCTCTGCTGAAAATGAATGAATGGTATCACATGACATTGTGGAATGTGTAAAAAAATCCCTTAGACACATAGGGTACAGTATGAAAGCCCGTTTTTACCAATAAAAAAAATAAAAAATAATAATTGCGACTTTTTTATCTCAGTTCAGAATTTTTCTTGTAGTTCTGTAAATACGTAAATTCGGAATTGTGAGGAAAAAAGGTCCGATTCTGAGTTTGTGTCTCGCAATTCAGAATTTTTTTCTTACAATGATGAATTTATATATTGCATCGAGTTTTTTTCTCAGAATTCTGAGTTTACATCTCGCAGTTCTTTCAAAATAATGACTTTACTTTTTTCTCGCAATTCTGATTTTTTTTTCTGCCATGGAATTAAAAATAAAAAAGATAATTGCGACTTTCTGTCTCACAGTTCAGACTTTTTTCTCGCAAATTCCAGTTTATATCTCGCCTTTCCGACTTTTCAGAATTGTGAAAAAATAGTTAAGTTTTAAGTTTATACATGTAAATTCTCACTTTTTTTCTCAGAATTCTGAGATTACATTTCGCAATTCTGACTTTTTCCACAGAATTCTGACTTTACATCTTGCAATTTTGTTTGTTTGTTTCTTTTGTTTCTGCCATGGAATAAAAAAATGTAAAAAAAAAATGACTTTATGAGAGAGTGGCATTCCAGCCAACCAAGTTTTGTGTACAGCAAAGGAAAACCAGTCTCCTCTTGGCTTATATCAAAATCCTCGGAAATGTTTCTTTACAAATCCTCATTTTGTACTTCTAATTTGGGATCAGTGTTTTGTTTTGCTCTCTCCTCTGCGCGTTTGTCACTTCTCACCGGAGCTTACACTACACCTATGTCATACGTTACCGGTTGGAATGCCACTCTCATGTGTACGACAGTTAGCGAAAGATAGAGATTACGGTTTATAAAGTTTTAAATATGGATATGTTTCTTACACAAACGCATTGCTTCATTTCAGAAGGCCTTTATTGAACCCCGGAGCCGTGTGCAGCACTTTTTATGATGGATGGGCATACTTTATTTTGTTTCAAAATCTCAACAGCCATTCACTGCCATTATAAAGCTTGGAAAAGCCAGGACATTTTTTTATGTATTTGTCTGAAAGAAGAAAGTCATAGGATGGCTTGAGAGTGAGTAAATCATGGGTGAACTATCCCTTTAAAAACACTTTAGCATTGTGGCAGCAAGATTTGGATGGCTGACCAAAACACAATTTTTTATATACTCATCTTTTTATTCCATATTTTGGTATGTTTGCATATTTTGGTATGAAAACCGTCTGACATGTTGTGACGTATGAGTTTCAGGCCATCAATCACTGCTGCTGGACCGCTCTGGTCCCGTCGATTGAGGGGTCACCGCGCTGACTGCCCTGAGAGAGGAACGTTCAAGCATTCGACACATCAATCACCCCAAACAGGCCCTTCACCCCACGGCACGCTTCACCGCTGTCCTGAGTCTGCCGCCGTGACGTTTTGATAGGGAGTACGAGCCGGCGGTAAATCGACATCACAAGGTGAACATCAAAACACACGCACTCACCGCGATTCCCCCAGCATGTTTTGTTTACACGCGTTTGACAGGCCAAGCACAATGTCTCTTCTCCACCGTCACACGCGGTCTGTTCTCGTTTACAGTGCTGTCGGTGAGGACCAGAGAATTCTGGGAATTCACACATGGAAACTGCCCGAAGGGTGTTTTGGTGGAGCAGAGTACAAGTGCAGCTAAAAAAAGGTTCTTGACCTTTTCCATACGAGCATCATGTTAATGCCCTTAAGCAACTATTAGAAAAATCTGTTTGGGAGAATGTTCAGCTTTTTATCGGCACATGGGTTCAGTGATCAGATCTACCATCCATCCATCCATCCATAGTTCTGTCCATCTGTCTAGGGTTCATTCTAACTACTTTGTCTCTTTTTCTGTCTGTTTATATTGTCACACATAGTAAGAAATGGTTATAAAAACTGAAACAGAAGCGAAACAAGTAGTAGGAAAGAGGAGAAATAAAAAGCAATACTTAACATTCTTAGCATTCTTTCTATCTATAATTTTATCTGTCTGTCTGTCTATCGTTCTATCTATCTATCTATCCGTCCGTCTGTCCGTCTGTCTATCTATCATCCATCCGTGTTGCTTCTCTGCTGTTCCACAGATTCTTCCTTTTATCATGTTCTCTGAGCTGTTCATTATTTAAGTGCATTACAGAAAGTATTTTAAGTTGGAATTCAGTGTCATTACTGAGATAAGCGGATGTAAAATGACCTAGATTAATTCTGTTGTAAATTCATTCAGCGGGTTATCCAGCTCCCTTTTCTATGAACTGTCTGGAGCAGGAATGAGGTTTTGCTTCATTAAATATCAGCACTGTGATAGGAAATATAGGAGCCTGAGTGCAAGTACGGCGGCTTCAAGGAAAATACCATAAAAGAGCTGACAGAACACAATTTAGAGTAAAGGAGCAGAGTAAAAACTCAAATTTTATCCCCCATCACCCTTACTGCTCCATCTCTCTCTCATTCTGTCTGTCTGTTCGCTCTGTCTCTCTCTCTCTCTCTCTCTCTCTCTCTCTAGCAGGATGCCGTGATGTCTGGTGTTGATAGTGTCTGTATTTTAGGAGTGTGATTTGAGAGCTTGAGGGAATTTGGGTGTGAGGAATAAAAGGCACGCTATGACACCAAACGCATAAAAGACAGAAGAGAAAAGGAGAGAGAAATAAAGCAAGGAATTAAAGGGAAAAATGAAAGAGATGCAAACAATCCCTCACAGACAGACTTCATATATCCAAGGTCCACTGTGATAGAATTGTTCTTACACACCGGAAGCATCAAATATGCTGCAATTCGCTGGCAACTAACAGACTAGGAAGTGATGTGAGACATATTTTCATAAGCAAATGCAAATGTTGACCCTGTTGAAGCAATAAGACTCAGTTCAAAGCAGTAGAAGGTTTTTCTCAAGAAGAGTTAAACCTTCTTTATCTGAGGAACATCGGGAAAGTAAGTAGCTGTAAAGTAAGCTGTGACAGGCATCATGTAGGTTCTTAATGAAGGTTTCTCACAATCCCAGATGATGATGCGCTAACTTTGGCATGGCAGACACATCTGGGTGTTAAGTATCTAGAATATTCCAGCCACTTTCCATGAACTCAACACACATCACATGGTCTTCAATCA